CTACTACTACTACTACTACTACTACTACTACTACTACTAATAATAATAATAATAATAATAATAATAATAACGTACTAAAACAAAAAAAAGTGTGAAAATGAAAGCAATGTTATCAGTCCATTTGAACCTGAGCGCGACTTTTTAAAAGAGGGCCAAGATTTAGAAACCCATGCACTCTGTCCTAATTGCAAAAAGAAGTTCCGCAAAACACAAAAAAAATCGTCCATCCCCAAAAATAAAGTCCCGCGAATATTTCGTGTCATTCGGCAAAAATTTTCCCAAAGATAGGCGATCAGAACAGAACACTTATCAGCCACGGAGTGTCATTTTGATGTACATGTAATTTCAAATTCTCGTAATTAATAAATGACACAATGTATGGCTTTGAGATGGGAATCGCTAAGGAGTTATTTGGAGTTAAGGAGTTAATCTGTGAGCTTAGAGAATATATAAACTTTCTGCCAGTTTCTTCATAGTTTCAGGAAATTTCACCGAACAAATGCAAAAGAGAAAATCAAGTCTTCTGAAAACTATTTAGTAGGGGTTTTGCTTCAACACATTCATGATAAAACAATAAATGTTGAAGACATAAAAAATACAATAACATTACAAAAAAAAAAGAAAAAACAGCTCGGAAACGTTTATTCGGTTGTATCAGAAACCCATTATGGGTGTCTGGTTGTATATTGTTTTTAAATGGCTTGTCAGTGCGCGCGTTTTGCATGTTAAAAACTCATGCACAACAACAAAGGATTTTGTTAAACAAAAAAGTAAACGCATTTGACCTCTGAATTCCATGTTAAATTTGAAAAGCGCATTCATCCTCATCGCTTCATAATTTGTGCGAAGTCGGATTTTTCACATTCTTTCTTGTATTAAAGTACTGATGGTTTTTTCTACAGAATCCAAACCGTGGGTTGAAGTAATTATTATCATAATTTATCATAATAGCATGATTAGAATTACTGAAAGTATTAATCAAAGAAGAACGTAAATTGAACAAGGAGGGATTTATCAAACTGGTTTTCGATTGTCCCTACTATGCTCTTTTTCATACCAATAAACTGTGTAAAGATGGTCGGTTCTTTACTGGTTTGAGCATCTTTGTCGCGTTAGGTGGATGAGCACGTGCTCCTCGTCTCATTGAGCAAGTTTTAATCTAGATTTTTCCCCTTTGCAGCTAATTTGATTAATTTCCTTCCTTACCGGCCTGGTTAGAAAAGATACAATTCAGCCTTTTCGCCTCTGTAACCAATTTACTCTTTTTTTTTGCCTTAATTGTTGAACTGACTCTGGTCTAAAAATAGCGCTGTGAGACCTGAAAGAATAATATTTTCTCGCTATCGATCCCTCTCTAAAACAATCACTAACCCTATGAATAATTACTAAAATGCTAATTTGCATTGCTGACATTCTACGACTGTAAGTAACTTACCGTTAAACTTCTCTTCTCGGCATACTTCTCGAAGATCAAGGAACACCGGACATCGAACATCAAACCACGATGATGCAGATATAAAGATTGTCAATCACAAATTCACAAATCACGTGTTCTGCTCAAAAGGGCTTGGGAACTTCTTACAGCGAAACACCCCCCCAAAAAAAAATGTAAATAAATAAATAAAAATCAGCCCTGTGTGAAAACAATTAGGTAAAACTTTTATCGAAAACAAAAACACTTCAGGCCATAGTTAGTAGCTATGTTCAGGCGAATATTTAGTCGTAAAGCGTAACCAGTATTTTCTACACAAGAAAATGACATTATAATGGAAGCAAAAATAGAACTTAAAAATGAAATGAGTATTACTTATTGTTGGCAGCACATACTTGTATCCACTGATAAGTTTGATAATGTGCTACGAAATCGAATATCCATAATTATGGCAACAAATGCCCCTTGTTAAGTTCTGTGAGTATTTGCTACGGTAGCAAATACCCACTTTAAAATTTAATGGATATTTGCTACGGTAGCAAATACCCATTATGGGTAGCAAATACCCACTCGAAATTTCAATGAGTATTTGCTACGGTAGCAAATACCCATTATGGGTAGCAAATACCCACTCGAAATTTCAATGAGTATTTGCTACGGTAGCAAATACCCATAAAATGAAAAATGAGTATTTGCTACTGTAGCAAATACCCACAGATCGTAGCAAATACGCACATGAATCTGCCTCTCTCTCTCTCTCTCTCTCTCTCTCTCTCTCTCTCTCTCTCTCTCTCTTTTTTTTTTTTCTAACTCAATATTTGTACACGGTTTTTCGTTTGTCTGCAGAGCTAATTATTACCAGGAACCTGTCATCTAAGAAGCAATTATCAAAGAACTGTCAAGTAACGGCCTGTTAGCAAAAAAGGAAAACGCCCTGTGGTGGAATTTGAATCACTTATGGCTTCAGACGCACCTGAAGGAGGGGGAAGCAATGAGGCCGTTCTTGGTGTTAACGCTGCACCGCTATTCAACATCCATCTTAAAGTTGATGATCCCCCGACGGTTAGATCCTTGTCATCTAAGGTTGCTGATGCGCTTAGTTTTGGGTTACGTGCGGCTGGTATAGGTATTGGTGCGGCTGGTATAGGTATTGGTGTGGCTGCCACAGGGGTTGTTATAACAATTGGTGTGCTTTGTTATAAACATCCTGAATTCGTGATGAGAATTGTAGAAAAAGCTTTGACAGCACGAGGGCTTCAAGTAGGAAGTGTTACACCTGGCTCAATTCTTGTGAAGTTGCATTGTTATACCGAGGAAAGCTTCCGATCATTCATGGAAGATTTCGAGGCAAGAAAGGTGCAGGAGCGGTTGAATAAAGAGTTTGAAAATAGTGGTTATATTGGGGAGGAGCTAGAAGTGACCATCACTAATTACAAAGAAGCCTACAAGTTCTTGGAACAAATTTCGAGGTATGCGGTCGCTCTGCATCTATTAACTAGGTTCAATCGGACTAGTTTATACTGGTAGGTTGAGTTTGATCGTCCGGGTGAACGTAGTCCTGAATAGGACTGTTGTTGTTGACAGTGACAGACGTTTCGACAACCTGTGCGGTAGTCACCTTCAGAGTCAAAGTGAGTTGTATCACGTCAGTTAATGGTATTATACTCTGGTCATTGATCTGATTAGTCAATTACGTCGCGATGTTATTGGTCGTCTGTCAGTTAAGCCGTGATGTTATTGGCTATGAAGACTCGTAATCAGTAATTGGTGCGTTTCGATCCGTCTATTGTCAGGGGCACCCAACAAGGATATAGTTCAAAACCACTTAACATAGCATTGTTGAACGTATTTTAGTATTTAAACGGTAGACATAGGCATATTTTTATCCCCTAAAAACTTTTCATCTGTTCGGATTTCCTAGCTGAAAGTCTAGTGATCCGAAAATTATAGGGATCAAAACTTACCTTTTCGAAAATTTCAGCCGGGAAAAGGCTCCCGAAAATTCTAGGTGGCCTTTTTTAGGGTAAAAATTCGTTAAAAATGGGTAATTATACCATTTTGTAGATGTTCGAAAATCCTAGGAGAGGCATCTCGGCAATAAGTTGTACGGCGCTGGTAACTGTTGGCTGTTGGTAACTGTTAGTAAATGCTGCGACTGCCAGGCTTCTTACATTACCAGCGATCAAACTCAACCTACTTTTGAAATGACTCCTGGGTTCAAACCTTTTACAGTTTTTGTTTATACTAGTTATGCAATGCTTTCTCTTGGTATACCGTGAAATATCCCAAGAGTGATTTTTCGTAGTATAAACACGAGCCTTTAGGTGAGTTTTTAAACGAAGACAAATCATGTTACGAAAGGGATATTCACGGTATACCACGAGAAAGCATTGCATAAATAATTAATCCCATGCCACTCAACATGCCCATCAAATTTTTATAGGAAACCTTGACATCACAGGTAAACTCGAAGAAAGTCAGTCGTAACTTGAAGTTAGTTTATAAACAACAATGCCCAAATGAACAGGCTTTCTTATGATAGCTGATGGTTTTGTTCACCTCTGTCTGTTTTACCTGCGTCCTTAAGAAAATGGTACGACAGCTGTCCAACGTTTCTGACAGGATTTCAGGTAGGCTGCATTCATTATGTATTCCACAAGGGAGGGGGGGCAGAGGATTTTTTAGGAGGGATCTTGAATTTTTTTAGAGAAAAAAGAGGAAGATCCGAATGCAATAATTGTTTCATTTTTCATTAAAAAATCCTAGTTTAAAAAAGAAGCTGAAAAAGGCTTACCTTGGTCGATGTTAAGTCTTCTTTTACCTGTATCTTGGCAAGTTCAGGATATAAAGAAATGTTTAGTTCCGTAGATATTCTTCAAATAGCAAATGTCATCCGTCGAGTAGTTTTCTTGCTGTTTTTGTTATCTTTTTAGGAAGTAGTTCGGCTATTCTTCTTCGCGAAACGTGCGAAGACGGTACTAGAAATCTGGATTCCTTATCGGTGGAACTTGGAATCCCGATTCATTCCAATCGTAAGAAAGATGCAGGATTCCTAAGCCCACGATTCCGGATTCCACCTGAGAAGAATTCTCGGATAACGGGTTCCACAAGCAAAACTTTTCCGGATCCGGGAAACCGGGGGTACTATAACGATTTACTTCCACCCGGGTGGTTTGTGTGATAAATGGTAAGCAGCCCGGGTTTCCTTGCATGGGGCGATTGACAGAGGTAATTGCGCGCGGTGATTCTTACCTGATCTTCACAGTCAGTTTACATTTATTTTTTCACACAATGGAGGTTTTCACACTAGAGAATGATTATCCGTCTAAGGTGACTGAGTTATCTGTTGGGTAATCCGTGTCCGACAGATGTGATAACTGGATGGTTTTATTTTTGGAGGAACCATTCGTGATTTTGTATACATTTGTCTGTTTATCCGTCCATCCAGACAGCAAACAGTTAACCCCATTAACAATTTAGCAGGTACATTTTCTCTTCTCTCTCTTTTTTTAGGACCTATTTTGTCTCTAGTTTATCAAAGCCTTGGGAAGGACGGCAAAATAACACAATGTCAGGAAGCTGGGCCGTACCACTGTGCCTTCCTAACAACTGTAGGTGGGACGAACAGACTGGTGAATACAGCAAGGCTAGAGGAGAAAGGCAAAGCCTCTATGTAGTCGACAAAGCTCTCGAAAGGCTAAGAAGCATCAAAGGTAACCTGTAATCCTCTTTTAAAATTTCGTCTCACATTTCCTCTTGTTATGCTACCCATTCTTTTACTCTCCCTAGCTCTTCCTTCTATTTTTTTTCTTGTGTAATCCCCTAAGGTAGTGATCGCTAAAATCACGAGTGATGTTGTAGCTTATTCAGTAAACTGCGGGCTGTTTTTCTCTACTTTGTTATATGTTGTTGTGAACTTGAAGGTGGACAACGTTCACTGAATTGAAATAGAGGGCAATACAGTTTTGAGCGACGCACGTCAACTGGAACTGATGCATTTCCCTTTTTCAAGCCTTGACACTAGTACATTTTTAATTGCTAAGTGTTTTTACTCTTATAAAGACGATTTTCTAAAAAAAAAAATAGGCAAAACCAATGCCTATATAAGAATGCAAAAAGTCCACTTTTAGTTGACATGCGTCGCCGGCTCAAAAACAATAACACCGTTCGGATGCGGATCCAGAAAAATAAGAAAAAAAGGGCCGCGGAGGACTTTCCAGGTTGATAGATACTATTTTCATTTATTGGCTTACTCTTTCCGGAAAACAAACACTCTTTAGGTGATTAAATCATCCACGAACGTAAATAATTTAGAGCTATTGAACTTAATTACTATCAGGATAGTTATTTATAACTGGTTTCTAGCCATAATCTTTTATTGCTTTTGTTGTTGTTGTTGTTGTTGTTGTTGTTATTATCATTATTATTATTATTATTATTATTCTGACCATTGTGGTTTTTAGTTGAGATCCTGAGATCTTTCGTACTCACACTAACTTAATTTGCAACTCAATTTAGGTCCCGTTTGTGTGGTGTCAATTGCTGGGCCTTGTCGCAAAGGCAAATCGTATATCCTCAGCAAAGCATTTGACCAAGGGGAAGTTTTCCCTCTTGGACACTTTCTGGACCCAGAGACGATGGGTATCTGGATGTGGGTTGTGCCAGAAAAGTTGAAAGTAAGCTCTTAGTAATGACGTCGTGTACGATATATTAACTGCTGATACATCCAGCCCAGTAATGCTGGGGCTTGAAAAGACAGATCTGACCAACTATTTTGTGTGCATGGTTTGCTTGTCTACCTACCCTAGTGCCCTTGTCGCTACCCTAAGATCTGTGAAATGCTGATAGCGCATATTAGTTCAGAGTTCCTAAGGCCAATTTTTCAGACTCTGGGCCTGAAAAGTCTTGCTCCATCTCTCGAAACGCATTATTATATATTGTACATTATTTTCCGTATGAAGCCCAACCCATCGAAACCTATTTTCCTTTCAATGCATAGGACGCCAGTGGCCAGGAATTTACAGTAGTGCTGTTGGACTCGGAAGGAACTGATGCGGTGGCCAGTGATGGTTCCGATGATCACTGTATATTCACTTTGACCATTTTACTGGCCTCAGTTTTGATTTACAACTCAGCTGGTGTTCCTACCCGGACTGACCTTGATGGACTTGAGTATCCTTGAACAGCTAATACTTCTATCGTAGTTACTTGTGTAAGGTTATTAGTAAGCTTTGTAGTGAAATAACACTCATTTAGCCGTGTATTGAAACTGAAAAAGAAAAAGAATAAGGATCCCATTCAAAGCGATCTCTCTAAGAAGGACTTAGCCGGAACAAGAACTAAGTTTCTGTTTTAGAGAGATGCCCGTCTCATACACAGCCGGGCAAATTAAAGAATAAGCTGTCGGAACAACAGCAGGCACCAACCCTTCGGCATCCTTTAAAGTGAGGTGTACGTCTGCTAAGAAAGAATTGATTGGCAAAATATAAGATGTAACAGGAGTTCATATATGGATATAGTTAACATTCTTTAATGATTCAAAGCTTCATAGTGAAACTTTCTCAGCGAATTCAGCTCCACTCATCTGATTCAACCGCCTCAGCATTGCAGCAGAATGAAGATGCAAACCTTTTCCACAAAATCTTCCCATTCTTCATTTGGCTGTGGAGATGTTGTGCTTGCACTCCCTAAAGATTGTCACAATATCAAGGAGTATTTTCTGACAAGGGCAAACGGAAAATCATTTACAAAGAGTGTGTTGATATAGCTCAGGAGGCTGCATAAGAAAACACTCAGCCACCACTAGTTTCACCGCGAAATGACGTATGAGGAACGAGCAACTGAGAAATTCCATTAACTGATGACGTAGGGTGTCACTACGTAGCTGATTGGTAGAGCCGTCAGGGTAACGTGCTTCAACCAGTCATAGACACTTCTCAAATCTTTTTGTCAGCTTAGCTCAAGAACATTTCTGATATCTTGAGCATCTGATTAGAGTCATATTCATCGTCGTTGAAGGGAAAGAATTCACACGCGCATTAAAAAAATTAAGTGTATAAACAAAAAACGTATAAGTGCTAATGTGAAGCTAACTGACCACTTTTTTTCAATCTATAGGTGTTTAACTCATCAGCAGACTCAAAAGGTGAAGTCGCATCTAAAGTGGCCGAGAGCATTTTGAATTTCTTCCCTGGGTTTGAGGCCTTTAAACTTCATCCTCCTTCTTCTGATCCAGAAGTTGTATTAAATCTTAATCGAGAAGAGGTGCAGGGTGACGTAAACAAGTCGTTTGTGCGGAGAGTGGAAGAATTCAAGAGGATGCTGAGGTCCAAGTTAACGCCCAAACGCAGCTTTCGTGATGGAGAATATGTAACTGGCGAAGGTAATAACTGAACATTAAATGTAATTCTATTCTCAGATATGCACATCGTGGTTCTTCTTTATGTTCTTTTGTTCGTTATAATCTATTTTCGCTGGGTTCAGATTTCCATTGATGTCAAAAGCACGACATTGATATAATAATGCCTTTTTTTTCAAGATGAATAACACCGCGCCTGGTCATTTATAAAGCAAATTTAAATAAAGTTCAGATATAACACGCCCTCAGATTGGTTGAAAGCGTACTTTATGAGAGTATAAAACAAGGAGCTAAAGTTTGCTTTAAAAAACTAGAAAGTGATGCGTGAGGAATTTAACGGTTTCTAGAGCACTCAAGAAGTAGGGAGAAGCAGTCTCGTGTTTTACCCTTGCATTATACCTTTCGTTCGTGCTCTTGGCGCTTCCTGCGTGCTTCAGTGGTGCTTTACAACATGTAAAACGGAGTAAAGTCAAGGCTTCTTTATTTGTTACGTAAATGGCATTATATTTTTGTATGGCTGTTGAATCAAGTAGATTGATCTGAGAGTCATGCTTTAGGTGTAACTATCCGATTGGCGAAAGGCTGTGAAATATCATCGCATCATAACCTTGATCATTTTCTGAACTTGTTTGCGTGTTTGTTTGTTTTTTTAAGCTCAAGCAGCTCTCGTCAATATTTACGTTGAGGCATTGAACACTCCTGGAACAGTTCCTAGTGTACAGAGCGCCTGGGAGACCTTTGTGCATGCCAAGTGCTCCGAGGCAAAAGCTATCGCCATGCAGATCTATCAAAGCGCCATGTCATCTAAGCTAGATGGAACACTGCCTCGTGAGAGTGACGAGATTCGCCAAGTTCAGCAAGCGGCCATTGAAGAATGTATGGTTAGGTTTCAAGCTGAGACAGTTGGAGTGTCTGCTTTAAGCAGTGAAAAGTACCTGGATGAACTGACGGTAAGGAACAGTATGAGATCGCCCCATATAACAAAATTCGGATTCCGGAAGCAGGGGAAATTTTACTTGTAGAATATGGAATCCTACGCTGGGAATCCGGAATTTCATTAACGATTGGAATCTAGTACCTGGAATCCGGAATCCACGGTGTGGAATTCAAAATCCAAGACTGGTTTGGATTCCTTTACATAGCAGGGGATGTGGTGTCAAATCTGTGCTTTGTAAATTAAGGCCCATGTGTGCCCAGATCAATACTCAATAGAAGAAGAAGAACAAGAAGAAAGTAATTCAAAGTAAAAATGGCACATGTCCACTGAATTTTCTGGGGTGCATTAAAACTAACATCTGGCGAAACTGGTATCGTCTGGCGTTAAAAAAAAAATAATAATAAAAATTAAAAAAAAAAAAACAGACTTTGATTAGGTTGTACGTCAGGCGTAGCGCTGAACCTCTGCCCCTAAAATAAGAATTTGACTGGGCTGAACGTCAAACATTACTTGCTACGTCCGACGTCAACATTTATGCAACTGGCCCGTGATCCTTACAGAAACAGTGTAAAATAAGGAAAAAAAATTGAATTTAAACGCGCACCTTTCTCTGCCCATAGGAGCACATGGAAAATGGCCTGAAGCATTGGCTGAAGGAGAACAATCGTTTAACAAGACAAGAGTGCCACAAGCTGCTGCGTGATCTGAAAGAGCAGCATTTGGATCCTATCCTGAGACAGCTCAGTGGAAAAGATGGAGCTTCTGTCACTTTTGCTGAAATAATTGGAGGTTACTCTGCTATTGAGCAAGGATTTAAAACTCATTCTAGAGGAGCCAAGAATGTGTGTGCTCAGATGTTTTACGAGTTCCATCCTGTAAGTTTATATGTTCAAATTCCATGTTTAGGAGAATTAAAAGAAATATGTTTTTTTTTTTAGATTGAGTTATTAGACAGGTTAAATAAACATCAATAATGTGCAATTTTCTCGAACATTTACCTTGAATGGTTTACGAGCTCAGATGCAGATGCCGTCTCCCACGGACTTGAAAACCCTTCAGGAGGCACCATCTCTCATATCTCAGTCTTATAAACTATCCTGGACGTGCCTAAAAAGTCGTATTGGTATGTGATCTTGTGTCATTCCTCGCTAGAAAACTGATAAGAAACTCACTTAGTAGATGGGAACATCTGAAGGATTTTTAGCGTAACTCCTTTTATATTTTCTACTATCAAGTCCTAAGATCGCATATCTCTTGCCTACATAGGAAATGCAAAAGGAAATGGAAAAACACATGGTGCACTTGCAACAACTGAAAGACTTTGATGAAACTTTAGCCTTAGAGAGAGAAGAAAAAGCCCGTCAGGAACAGGAAAGGAGAAGGATTGAGGTAAAAATAGTAAAATAACTGAGCGCGTTTTTAGAAGCGTGAACAGGTAGAGGAAGTTTCACAGTAAGGATGATCATTGAACCTTTTCATCTAATTGACAAGTAGAGACGACATTTTTACTAAAAAATGACTTCAAAAGTAAACTCGAGTATTTGTAAAAAAACAAACAATTTAGTCTTCAACTCTAAAATCTACAAAAAATAGGTTTATAACTTAAAAGCACAGCAGACTTTAAAAAAAAAAAGGTTATCGAGAGACACCTTGTCTAAACTTAATGATAGAAACTGCACTTTTGTTGTATTTAGTTCTTATACGCCTCGATTGATACTGAAATGAACACTTTTTTCTGTATATTTGTTTTCGTTGCGTTACGTTGAAAAAAGAAAACAAAGCACATTGCTGATGGATCATTCTTTAAATGTACTAACTCTCTGGGAATCAAAATTAACCAAGTGTTTTTTTTTTTTTTTTTTCTCGGACCGGTATTTCAATGTTCGCTTGTAAAATACACTGTATAGCAATTAATCCTCAGTAGAGATCTATTCCAACAGGGCTCAGTACAACTTCGATGAATACAGAATTGTTTAAGGCTTCTTAAATATAGATTTAATAAGCTCACAGAGGCGTGTTCTTTTCAATGCTCGCTTTTATTTTTGATTTATCTAGGAGGAAAACGCGTGCCTCGAGGAGGAACGTCGCACGGAAGAGAAAGAGGTTTGCACAAATTCACTTTTAAGTGTAACCATTTTCTGCTGTAAAATATTACTTTATCTGTCTGCCTCATGTTCTCTAGGCATTTGCCATAAGGAAAATGATGTCGCTCTTTTGTAGATGGAGCTTCTGCGGATCAAACAAGAGGAGGACAGGAGACGCTTGGAAGAGCAGTTTAAGGCAGACGTGGAGGCCCAAAAAGAACAAATGTGCAACATGATGGCGGCAAACATGGACGAACTGCGAAAGGACAGGGAAGCAGTAATTCAGCAGAACCAGACGAAAAAGGAAAGAATGGAGCAGATGTACCAGTCTATGGAGCAAAGGAACGCTCAAGTGATCGAGTTTCAGAAGCAGATCACTGCACTTGCTAACCGCCCACCTCCACCACCACCGAAGGGTGGTTGCGTTATTCTTTAAGATAAAACTGCTTGTTTGTTTTTGTTTTTTTTTCCTTTTTCTCAGCTGAAGGGATGATAAGGTTAAAAAAAAAACTTTTTTGAATAGTTCAAGTGTAACATTTTGAACTAAATTCATATTTAACAATTGATTAGTGTTAAGAAATTCAAGCATGATCGCTTTCCAAGAGAAACTTCAATGAAATGATCTTTGCACTGCGATTTAGTGTAACCTCGATTCCCAGACTGAGGAACTTGGTAAGGTCAATTATTAAAGCTTATTCTTCTTCCAGTAGTATACACTGGCATCGATATATGTATCTTCCACTGTTATAAATTAAAATGTGAACTGGATACAACCCTGTCCCTTTATTTTTCACTTTTGCATGGTTAGACAGGTGGCAGATGAAGGAGTTATTTGTAATAAGACGTCTAATGATGTAGGGTAACGTTTTCAAAATACGCATTTGGCAAGAATACGAAAGCGAAAGCCCTGGCATCGAAAAGCCTCTCCTGCGTGTCCATTGTCCGTTTCGTTTGGATCGAAGAAAACTTTGTTGTTTCGTAACCGGCGCAAGACGCGAACAAAGAAATGAAACTGATCGATTTTATTAGTCGTCATAACTAAAAACACTAAGCGCAAATGCATCCAGTGCTCATGCTTCCCTTTCCCCGTTCAGCTCCTTCTCTGATTTAAAGCATGCGCAGCATCCGGTCACTGTCAATCTACTTATTACTAGAAATACGGAAATCGCAGGACCTCTCGAAGGACGTTGGGGGAACGGCAAGATGAGGCAATAGAGAAGAAAATTTATAAATCTAAAAATTTTAAAGAATTATTTTAAAGACACAAAACAAAACTGCAATAACTAAAAAGTAAACTAAACGAAAAGAAAAAGACAAAAAGTATAGAAGCGAAGAGAAAAAGGTTCTGCCCAAAAACGAACTAGGGAGCTTCGACGGGCCTCCCTCCCAAAACAAGTGCTGCATTTTCGCGCAGACGCGGTCGCTTACTTGAACATTCACGTCACGTATTAATCCTGCCCGTTTGTGGTCATGGCGGAGCGCAAAGGTCAACAGTGTTTGTTGATGAGCGAGCGAATATCGCGCAGTTGCGATGGGTTTTCTGGAGCCAGTGAGGAAGACGCCGGAGCACACGTTACCTCCAGATCAGCCAATGGCAATTTGGAGCGGATTCGTCCATTATTCTCAAATTTATAGCGCTTCGCGTGGAGGCGCGTGGAGATGGTTCCTTTTCTTTGTAGCCAGCCTTTAATTTCTTTAGTGGATAGTACTTACGATTGCAAAACTCGACAAAATGCCACTTTAACCGGCCAGGAAAGACAAGGAGACGTTCAGTTAAAGGTATCTTAGCTTTGTTTTGTTATATTTTGACTTTTGGACTATTTTAGTTCATGGGAGTTTCGACGACTCATCCCATTTTGTCCATGTTATTTACACACACCACGTCTGAGCCGCCTGTGCTATTTTTTGCTGCCATCAAGTCGGCGTTCTCGCTGCAGAGGATTTTTCGGAGTCAAGACTTCCCCTGCGAGGATTTACAGCCAATTGTTGAATTCGGCGTTTTTGTGTTTGCTATTCTGTTGCATTTGCATGAGAAATCGCTTGAGATTCAGCGATAGTAAACATTGTTTCGCAGACGATGAATAAACAAGAACACGCTTTCAGCGGTATTCAGTCTCGCTCGCTTGAAGATTAGATCGAGAAATGAGGAAGCGATTAATTCTACACAAAACAGGATTTACTCGCTGAAGTTTTTTTTACTTTCTACTTTATCGAAGTCGATACTTTTTACTTGTTTCTGAATTGATTTAGTTCGCGTGTTAGCGACGACCGGAAATACGTCTACGGCCGCAGGCTATACGCGTGTATAATACACGATTCCAAAGAAACTACATCATTTTCAGAGATCAAAAAAGGGATTTACATGCATGTCATTTCAATCATCGCCGAAAATAAACCGCATGCTCCTCAAAATACCATTTGCATACAATGAAAGTTTACGACACCCGACAATCAGTTTTGCTAATTAAGATTCTTATTTTTTTTAGACCACTCAGTAGTGCCCACTTGTTCCAAAGTAATCAAGTCTTTCAAGCGATAGAATTCGTGGACCGACACGTTTCGGAAAAGCTCTTCAATCTTTCCTAAGCTTTCTTCGCAAAAAAATGCGTGGCTTCGATCATGCAACGATTCTTAGTCCCAGTTTCCACTATCTCCGCAAGGAACGCCTGGCACAATGACCCTCCATTTGTGTTTAAAATACGACGAAAATCCCCGGGGGTACTTTCAGAAAAATTCGGTGGGGGTGTGCAGCACGCTTGCTGAAATCCTTACCCTGTTTCAAACCCATCTGTGATTTTCGCTACCCTATTTCAGACCTGAAGCCCTGGAGCCCAGCGAGCGACCAGAGCGCCTGACAAGCTGTTACAACACGTACACGGTTGGCGTAAACATTGAAAGGGAAATGGTCTTATCGCCAAATGATGAAGAAGAAGCTTCTTCTAAAAAACATACCCAATTCATGACTAGAGTGACCAAAGTTCTCGGATAAGGACGATAAACCCTAGGCCCCGTCTCACAACCCTTGCATTTTTGAATTCTGTGGGACGTTAAAGAACCCACACACTGTTCGTAAGTAGTCCCCGGTGTGGTGGTCTATCTCTCATGGGGGGAGGGACTGTTACGGGCCCGCAGTAATTGACGTCATGCTGTTGCGGTGACCCTGGCAATAATTGCCGAATCTAATGAAATAAAGTAAAATAAGTTGTCGAAATTGATACTCTACTTCAGAGTAAAACGGCTAAGAAAAAACCATACCCTTTGGCCCCGCACATGCCTATATAGCCTATATAAGGGAGTACCAACCCCACCCCTCCCCGGGAGGGGGGGCGAAAAACGCGTTGCAGGTTATGGGTCTCACTGCTTACGCAAGCGAGACTAACAAGTCAGCCCTTTATGAACACTTTGGTCATTGATGGGAAATCGCTTTCAGTCGAATCTTGCCTAGAAACAAAAAATGCGCTGTGACGTCAAACTACTGTACGACGTCATGGCGGACAGCATCGGATATATACAAGTACAAATGAGCGTTGCGAGTTTGCAGCTCGCTAGAGTCCACGCGCGCGACGAGATTATAAACGCTCTTCGTTCAGCGCTTCACGAGGAATAATAGGTTATCGGGTAAGCCTAATTTCATAACCCAACTGATATGTAAAATTGACCACCCTTCAGACAGCCATGATAATACGTTTCGGGTGCTTACTCTTTCCCATAAGCGGACCCAGTAAATGGCATCATATGTGGCTTCAACGGGCGTTTAATCTGGAGGGAAACAGTGGTAAGGTGAAACCAAGTGAAACAGATTTCAATTATAGATGATTGATGATTCCGCTAAGGTTTATAGTGCTCAATTAAAACGACAAACCATTGATATCAGTGAGGCAGATCCCGGGGAGGGGCCTGGGGGTCCAGCCCCCCTTATTTTTAGACCAAACAGAGGCCCGGAGGCCGAATTTTTTTTTTTTGCAAGGAATTACCTGGCGAAAAAAAATTCCAACACTGGAAAAAGTTGGGAAAAAAATCTTGCAGCGTTGTATACCAGAGGTTTTACAAAAAAACTTCTTTTCCAACCCCTCCCTGCCTCAAAAGTCAAATGGTCCGCTCCTAGGTCGCACCTAACTCTCCCAAAAATACAATCGAATACTGTTCGTTAACATTTTCTAGTTACCCACTCTCCTAGCAAAAACTAACAGAAGCACGCTGCCGATTATAAAGTTATGTCAGGCTCTTCTTTTCCCAAGGTTTCAAGGCACAGTCCCTGAAACAAGAGTTAGTGGCGGTTTAAGAATATTAGTTTAAACTGCTCCGGCCTTCTGTATGACAGGTCGAATCAGATTCAACTTCAAATCAGATTCATTCATTCTCAATTAAAAACGGATCTCATCTGCATGCAGCAAGCACAATGGCTGCTAAAAGCATTGATAAAATGGACCGATATTAAATAGTATAGGTACTTTTAACAATAATTTTTATGGTATTATATCAACGCAAGCTAAAAATCAATAAATAAATTGTATTTTACACGATGGGATTTAAAAACACAACTCCTTTAAAACTTTTTACTTTGTGAACCTACCATTCCAATTGATGCCAGATTTTACTGGAAATGTTGTAAGTTTTTCTTAACCTTACCTAAATCCCAAATAATGCAGCTGTTAGTACAGTATGGAGTAGTCTATAGAATATGTTATGAATAAAAATTTAAAACGTTTATAATATATTGCTATTAAGAGAATTGTCTCTTGAACTAGTTTAGTTTTGAATTAGGTTTCCGATGAGGTTTGATCGACTATATCAACGAGAATAGAGCTTCATCCGATGACGGGTTTCTTCTGCAAAAAGACATATTGCTATGATTTTTATTCTGATATTGATTTAAAATTGAATGAACACATAATTTGCATTTGCGTATTTATATTTACTCAGTGTCTTACATGTCAGATTTTGAAAAAGGGCTGATATTTTGTTTTTTGTTCTTAGTAAAAAAAAAAAAGTAGACACCTGGTATCACCAGAGGAAAATTAAAAGATTTCATGGCCAATTCCCAGAACATACAGGCATAATGAATTCAACTCAAGAACTCTTTGCCTTACTGACCATATCACTCAAGAACAGAGAGAGTTGGCTGGCGATTTTAGAATCTGCCCTCTATTTGACAGTCATATTAACCGCCTTTCTGGGAAATACGTTATTCATCTTGGCATTTAGCAACACGCCATCGCTTCACAGTCCTCAGAATTGCTACTTGGTATCGCTTGCAATTGTAGATATCCTAAACGCAGTTGTCTGTATACCCATTACACTTAAGCTTGCTGTGTCCATTAAAGGAAAATGGGACTTCAGTGATGTCATTTGTCAGCTTCAAGGAAGTTTGATTTCAGTTGTTTCAACTGTGTCACTCCTCACTCTCTGTATGATCGCCATTAATCGCTATGTAAAGATTACTCGCCCGCACCAAATCAACTGTATTTTAAAACTGTTTGTGAAGTAGTTTAAATCTATTTAAACGATTTAAAAACTATTTTTACCACAATTTGAGGTATTTTTATTATATTTCACGACGAAAACCAAAATAGCGTTAGAAGTTTGAATTGTATTCGATATCTATTTGAATAATATTTATAACATTTTCCCAGGTTTTCCTTGTATTTGAGACATATTTGCAAACAAAACTACCTTTTAAATACAGTATTTAAACTATATTTTCGGAAAGAGAGTACTGGCGAGTTGCTATTTTTTTTTTTAAATACCGTATTTAAACTGCATTTTGGAAAGAAGAACCTAAAATCAAAGATTTAAAAAGTAGTTTTTACAAGTAAAGTTCAAAGTCAGGTTTTAATCAGGAGGTTTAAAGACTATTTTGAATATACTTCCTCATCTACGACCTTAAACAGCTCATAAATAGCATAGTTAAAACATGTTTGAAGAATGTTTAAGAGACAGTTCAATTTAAATTGTGAATTGAAATGACGAACATCTTGAAATCTCTTCAAACAGGATTAAAACTAGCTGTTTTTACTGTATTTTCACAAACTTTCCTCATTTAAAAGGCATTTAAATGGAAACCTGTTTCCAAACCTAACTTAAACAGGCTGTTTACAGGGTGTTTTGAAAAAACCCGGTTGTCCTATGGTAAAAAATATACTTCAAAGGAAAAAAAGTCAAACAAATTTATTTTCAAACCGATTTTAAATTCTGTTTTCGGGGTATTTTTAAAAATTGATACCCGCAGTCACGGGCTTAAAAAACAAAACGAATAGACATGCAGATACAGTCTGCCAAAAGAAATAAGAACTCGTCGGTAAGTATAAACGCCACAAAATTATTAAGCCTAAGTCCACTAGAAAACAAGACATTGAGCTGCCAAACAGTTGGGAGCTAATGTATCTCCCAACAAAAACGAACAATCAGCCTTAAACTTCATTAGTCAAATAAAGTATCGAAATATGCATGCATTTCGAGCCCATCGAACGGTTTGATAACGCGCGTTGTGTCGTAGTGTGACAGTGGGAAAGATCTATCGATCGCCAATTATTATTCATCAAATCTCTCTGTGTACACAGAGAGTTCATCAAATCTCTCTGTGAACTCTGTCTACACAGCCAGATTTTAAATCAATCATTTATCAGTTACTAAGTTTTGAAACTTATAAAATGCGCATCAACCATAACGTAACATAACATAACATAACATAACATAACATTAACATGCAGTGTAATCTAAATAGTAATCTAATCGATTTTGACACAGAACTGCAGTTACGGTGAACAAAGATAGAATAAGCCCTGAACAAAATTACATAAATAAACGCTCACCTCTCTTGTTGCATGAAGAACCAAACGCTCAAGAAATTCCTCCACATCGTTATCTTACGTTTGTAAATCATGCTGGATGAATAAAATTTGCTCGACTTAGCTAGCCTGCGTGGCAGGCGCAAAAAGGGGAGGGGGAGATAGAAAAGCACGAAAGACGGGAAAGGGAAGGGAGCGCCTGCTATAAGAGCCGGTGTTTTTGTAATCCGCCTACCATTTTCTCAACTAATCCGATAATGTCACTGTCAATACGTGACCAATCACAAGTACGGGGCTTCTCAGTATGGTCCGAAGTTAATTACTTTGTTTACCGGAAATTGTCAAGTTGAGACGCTTTTTTCAAGTGATATCATAATCGAGCGAAATGAAACATTTTTGTTCATTTCTGCGGACGCTGGCGTCCGCAAATTCCTGATTGGCTGAGCCGTAATGAGTTACTTATTGGCGTGTATCCTGGCGTGTATTAGTGTGAGCGACAGACATGACGAAAGCATCAAGAAAATGTGTTCTGATAAGCTTTGGAAGATCAAAATTACTCCAATCATGTAGCAACTTCACGTTAAAACCCGAACTAAGACCAACTGTAACAGCTTGTTTAGCAGGAAGAGATGCTCAGGAGGTTTTGTATACTGGATTTGTCCGTACACTGAGCAGCGATTCAGGGGCGGATCTAGGGGGAGGGTGCAGGGGGTGCGCACCCTCCCCTGAGATGACCTGCGGTTTTCTAATACAACTGTTATTCTGCGAAAAAAAAAAACTATGTGGTTTATTAGTGTTGAAGTAGAGTAAGAGACGAGTGCACCCCCTCCTAAAAAAAATCCTGGATCCGCCCCTGCGATTCAAAGCGATTGCGATTCTTGCCAGACATCTGCAATGCCGATATTCAAAAGACCTCCTATTCCGCAAAAACATATACCGTCTTGAATGGAGTTTTAGATGGTTTGCAAAGAGAGAGCTGAAGCTTTGGTAAAAACTATCCGTTGAGCATCTTGACAATTGTTTATAATTCTCCGGTGCTTTAATTATTCGCGTCTCAGGCTGGCCAATGTTCTGTTCTTTGTGACCATCACGGTGCTTGATGAGGTTGTAAGTTAAAAGGTCTTGTGTATTCACACGAAACTGATCATTGTTTGTCGTAGACTGCGAACGGTAAAAAAATGAGAGACTGGTCGTAGTCTATGTTTGTCGTGTTTGCTGCGGGAGCAAAAACAGTAAAAAGGGGGTTCTTATAGCAGGCGTCCACTTCCCTTTTTCCCTTTCTCCCTATCCGTTCAGATACAAATTGATTCAGTCGAGGTGTACAACCAATATTTCGCGACATTTGTTTTTCTTGTTCACGAGTAACAACTATACATCATGATCAGGTAATCGAAATATTTTTGCAGTTTTACTGGTTAAGTTCGTATCGAAATGACTCTTTTCCTTTACAGTTAATTGATCAGATTACATTCTTGCTCTCACGCCAAATGTGTCACGTTAATTAAGCTTTAATTTGTGTCCGTCATCTTTAGCTCACGCATAGCAATACCAACCACAAAACCAATAGTGAACGCTCTGGCTCAGGCCTTGCAAGCTTCATGATGATTTTAGTGAAATCAAATATTATTGTGTTAGGTCTTGCGAGAATGAATGTATGTATAGTTGGCAAGTAAAATTCAATAATGAAATTATATATTATAGACATTTAACTTATTATATTGACTCAGTTAGCCTAAAATGGTTATTTTTCTGCTTGGGAATTCCTAAAAAGTTTCAGGAACATGATATATAGACATTTAGTTTGTTACATGTAAACAATCAGGACCTTATACATACACTGTACACATGTACAGCTGGTTCAATAACAATGTCGATCCTTACATCTCCAGACTTACAGCTTCTTACATACATTCGTGTATGGAATATAGACAAAAACCTTTTCTTTTTTATTATAGCCTTTATGCCGCTTTAAGATTTATAACGTAGATAATGCAGGTAATACCATGTAATCACATAGGAATACTGAAATAAAGTTGTTGTTGTTGTTGTTGTTGTTGTTATCGAGATCTGAAATCTGCTCTTTGGATAAAATCCCAGAAGCTGGTCCAACTGGTTCAGAGGAATTGAGCGCGGGTCCAACTGGTGCAAAGTCACCGGACGCTGCCGCAAGTGGTTCAAAGGAATTGGACTCTGGTCCAACTGGTTCAAAGGAACCGAAATCCGCTGTTGTAAAGTCACAGGACCCTGGTCAAACTGATTCAAAGGAGCCAGAGGTTGCCCCAACTGATTCAAAGGAACTGGAATCCCCTGGTGTAAAGTCACAGGACGCTGGTCAAACTGGCTCAAATGAAGCAGATGTTGGTCCAACTGATTCAAAGGAACAGCCAGCTGTACCAACTGGCTCAACGGCACCGGAAACCGCTCCAACTAGTTCAACAGAGCCGGACGCTGGTCAAACCGCTTCAAAGAAACTAGATGCTGCTCCAAGTGGTTCAAAGGAGTCGGAAGCTGTTTCAACTGATTCAAAGAAACCAGAGGCTGTCTCAAATGGTTCAAAGGCATCGGACGCTGATCCAAATGGCTTAAAGCACCAGTCATTAAGCCAAATAGTTCAAAGGGGTCGGACGCCGCTTCAACTAATTCAGAAGCAGCGGAAGCTAATTCAGCCAGTTCAATTGAACCGGAAACTAGTCCAAATGGTTCAAAGGTGCCAGACGCTGACTCGAAGGAACAGGAAACTGATTTTACTGAAAGAAACTTCATAGGTAACACACGAACAACACAAATGATACATTTATTTGCGCTAACTAACCACAGATTTACACAGCCTTAAAATCTCCTTATCCTTTGTCATTATTTGGGTCGACCATAACGGGCCGAGGAATAGAACCCAAGGATCCTCCTTTAAAGTTGTCTGTTCAAAAGGAATACGTAATAGGAGCTTCTTCCCATTTAACTACTTAAAATGACCTTTAAATGATCACCTTTTAGTAAAGAAATCAGAAAGGCCCAAACATAGTTATGTACTGTAGAGAATTAGATTGGTTATTTGGTCATTCTGGGACAGCAGTGTATCGGCCAGTTCATTTTTAAATGAACCAGTCTAAACATTTAAAAATGCTCGGGCTTGTTTACTCGGTTTACTTGAGTTAAGCAATTACGGATGGTTTTTTATGAGGGAGTTTCAAATATTTTTTAAAGCTCTTTGACAAAAGTGAATTTAGAAAACGCTAAACAAAACCCGCTTATTAGTACTGCAAAACAGATTTTTGTATATGTTTCCTATTTTAGGCAACTGTGTCATTGTGCCGAAGTCTCTGGTATGTCTTCTTTTTCTTATGATGTTCATTCTAGCGGTGCTGGCGATGGAGTGGTGGTTCCCATGGTTAACAGGTGAGCGGACCTAATAATGATAATGATAATGATGGTGACACTGATGAGAAATTAACCGACGCGGTGTTAAGCACTATAATTATGTCTGCAAAAAACAACCTACTTACACCTCTGGCCCGGATTTGGCGAAAGATAGTTAACAAAATTTTCTCCTCTAAGAAAATCGGTTTCAGGGTAATATTTTTGAGCCTTTTATTCAGGCTCATCAGTTATTTTAACCAAAAATTACACCTAACAGTAAAAAAATTAAGTTAGTTATTATTAGAAATAAGAACCCAATGGTAGGACTGTCGGGACGGGTAAAAATTCCTCTCAAATAATTAGCAAAGAAACTTGAATTAAGGATATAAAATACTAAACCGCATCATACCTTATATTTCTATAGGAGGGAAAGGAAACGAGAGGGAACAGCCAAAATGACTCATATAATTAATATAAATAAAGTTTCACTTCTTGATCAGCCCTACTGGATACCATGGAGTTGTGATTCTAGCGGAAGTGATTCCATGAAAGAGTACACAAAGGATGTGCATTTTGCAACTAAAATTAAATTCTTAGACAACCTTAAGTAACAAAAGGAGAACCAAATAACTGTACTTAGAGCCGACGCATACCTGGTAAATAAACTCAGTACTCCTGAAACTACTAGACTGTGAGTCAGAGGCTCCATAAAAGCCTGTTTTATCAATTTCGTTACAAAAAGAAACCTAATTGACAAAGTAACTGCAGACAGCGCCAAACAGTCCTCCCCTATTATGACCGTTTTCGTTCACTGTTTCAATGTTTTACTCGCCTGACTGACAACTCCCTGTCAGTTTTATCAGTCATTTATCATTTATCAGAGGTTTTGCAAATTAAAGTTGACCAAGTTTCTTTGGTGGTGGGGCGATGGCCAGGCATTGATGTCCTCGTGATTCGCTTAAAGTCTCCTTCAGTCGATAAGAGTTGCTACAAGACCATCACGACATTGGTCGTTTACTCATAAGAGACGGATAATCCGTATGGTTAATATTTTTTTCTTAACGTACGGTAAAACTGGCAACAAAACATAAACATTGCCGCAAAACTAGTTGAAAGGCAGTGTTGCGCGTTTTACCGCCCCTCCTTCACCCCCACGTTCAAACCTATCGAAAAGTGGTTGCAGAAGGTAGAGAGCAGTTCTACGGATTTTCAACAAAATCTGTACATGCCTTTTACCGGCCAAAGGCAAACTTTCTTTGCACCAAGTGACGTAACCCCGGCGTTTGTCGTCACACCCGCTCAAATTTATGCAATCAAAGTTCGGTACTCACGCAACCTGCATCAGCACGGGCTTGAACGTTGGTGGTAAGTGAGTAAGTAAGTAAGTAAGTAAGTAAGTAAGTAACTTAATTTAACCAGGGTAACCTATTCAGCAACGAGTCTTGTATCAATAGGAGCCCTGAGGAATAAAGATGTATACAATTTAAATGTGAAAAGAAAAAAATCCTAAGGTATGGTATGTACAAGGTATGTACACGATTGAAGTCAACAATATAACAATAAACGTGTAGCTAAGTCAATATAATAAGTGTGTGCCAAGAAATAAGAAATAAAACTGATAAAGTTAAATACCTTATTTATCATTATATTTTGAAAACTATTTAAGAGCGGATGTCAGTAAATATCGACCACACGTCTACATAACTGAAAAATCGAAAATTCTCAAAAAAATTCACAAAGTAGCACTAGGTAAGCTATTAACATAAATGAAATTTTTACTTCCATCCGATAATTATTTTCCACGTACCGGGGGGTTATTGGTTTCGCGGCTCTCGGACCGGGTTTTCCAGGCCCGAGACCATGTGCCACAAAAAAAATCGTTTTAAAATTCAAATCCATTGTAATGTGGACAACAAATAACTTATTCAGAAGAGTACCTAATTGCACACATTCTAAGTGGTGATTTACTCAGTTTGAACGAAAGTGTAATATTTTGGAGATTTTTCATTATTTTCAATATTTTGAACGTTTTCGTTCAATGAAAAAATGGCAAATTTCAAAGCCCAAAATTGTCGACTGGTACCTCGATTTCAGTAACGAGTCTTATACCACGTTAAAGAGCGTTATCTCTTCTTTCAAAATCTGTTTTCAAAACTACGGGCAACTTAAAAAAAAAAAATGTTTGAGGCCAAAAGATACTAGTAGTACTTTTCTGAAATTTGAGCTTTCCAGACTCAGCGGGTCGATGCTAAAAACTCAGAAAAATGCAATAAGAAATCAGTTTGAGCAACAGTGATTTAACGTTATCAGCTATCAGAAACCAACACGTGTTTATCGAGCGATCTGATAAAATTTAAAGCCGTTTTCCAACAAGAAAAGCGGAGTTTAGCCATCTTCTGCTACCAAACGCACGAGTGACGTAAGGTTGTCAAAGGGCAAAGCACAATCATAAACTTCAAAAAGCACAACGTTTCTGCGTCCAGGAATTAGACTTTAGCGGACAGAACAATGCCTACGAGTGTATGTTTCATACCTTAGCATGGGTTTCCTAGATACTGGAAATAAAAAACATCGAGGACAGCATCGGCAAGAGCATCTTCGGCTGCTCTCAAACCACCTGTTTTGGGTTCGCATTTCGACGGAACGCTTGCCTCGAGAGGCGCGCGGCACGGATCTGAACTGAGCTGAATTTATCGGAAATATGCCACCACCAACAACAACATGAGCTTTTTTCGGGTATTTGTCGTTTTTTATGCGAAAAGTTCGGGTAAGCAGATTCTCGCAAAAACCATTTGGCTTAAAAAATGTGTTTGAAAGCCCACCCTGGATTTGAAGCAAAAAGTATTTCGTCGAAATAAGCTAAAAATACCTAATTCACGCGGTGAATCATGGATGATTATGGAAGGATTATCGAATTCTTGCCTAACCTGAGGGATTTCCCGTGATGTAGGATTAGGGCTAGGAAAAAAGCCCATAACCTGCTCCTGTCGTTGTGAATTTCCTCAAGATCAAAAAATTCAGTAAGAACCGAAAACAACAGCTTAAAGGAGGTGAACACACCTTGAACTAGCCGGGGAAAAGGGGCTTCTGATTGAGCTAAACTGTCATTGATGCACACTGCAATTAGATAGACCAGTTACTATCCCCCGGGCAACCACATGGGGAGTACTTTGAAGCGGTCCTGTCGGAGACTTTCGGGGGTAGGGGGCGCGGCAAATCAAAAATAACTTCTCTTTGTTTTTGTGAAGTACATCATTTCTCGCACGGTTGACAAGGTGACGGCGGACTCCGTACCTTTGGAAAGGCCCTTTTGAAACATATCCTGGCAACATGCAGGGCATCACGAAATTAACGTCAACACCTTGAATCAACTCCATGAACAGGGAGAGGCGATAAGTCCCATCTTGAAAGATGCTTGATGTCTAGACGTGAATAGTCTGTCCACAGTCATTTTTCATTTTGTATTTCGGGACCATTTGACAGCGTACGAGTGAACCGGAGCGCAGTAACGAGCCCTAACCCCACCCCATTGCCCTTGCGGTCAATAAATCATCGCGTTTTTCATTTTTTTTATGCGCGTTCGAGAACCTCCAAAGGGAATATTGACGGTCTTTGTATGGTTTCAGTTTATTTTACCGACAAAAAAGAACAAAACAAAGCAAAAGACAAGTATACAGAAACAAGCAGAAGCAATGTGGTGAGGAAGCCCAAAAAGAAACCATAAGGCTTAGGTCATCCCCTTTTCGTTCGTTTAGCGTCGAATAGGTTTCCTGGTTTTGGGTGGGTCGGTCAGTGGGGTGAAAAAAAAAATCACAAGAAATCTGAGAACGGGAGGCCTGAAACCCCAGCATCATTGCCGAGGAGACTGAAAACAACAAGACATGGTCACCAAATCGACACAAACTCAATATGGCGGAAAATTTGATGGTCAATTTCATAAAAAAAGGCCCAAAAAGGGTAAAAAGCAAAGAGGATACACCACCGAACGTTTTATGCCTCGAAATGATGTTATAATGCTATTTTTTTAGATTAAAAGAGTTAATCTAAGTCCAAAAAAAAATAAAACTTGTCGTTTGGACGACACTAAACGAAGAAAAAATTAATATAGGTATTAAGCTCCCTTAAACTATAAAAGTATAAGTTTACAAGGACAGGATCGAACGTATACTGAGTAACTAAATGACAAAAATTTGATCAAAATTAAATGAAAGGCTAAGAGCCTAAGTGCTGTCTGATAAAGAAGCGGTAAACAAGAAGTGCTGCCTCTCATTTAAAAGAGACGTGAAATACTGGGTGGACCACATCCTGAACTCCCGCGTAAACCGCAAGAGAGGAACGCTCAGGGCTAAGGAGACTTGTACGCACTGTTTGCACGTGCGTACCCGAAAAAGTTGAGGGAAAAAAACAGAATGAAATAAACATAACTAAAAAAAATCGGTTTCCAGAGAAGAGACGACATTAATTGGAGAACCGAATCTTGGATGATTTATTTATATAGCAAGCTTGATGATGTAAAGCGTGAACGCGTTGTTTTCTCAACGACCTGTCTTCGGAGTAGACGAAGTAGGGCACAATTACGTCAATGTGTGGTGCTTTTATCGGTCAAAAATAATGTGACAAAAAGGAGTAAAAAGAGTCATTTGTAAACTAAAGTCGGAGGTACTACAAGCTTGATTTTTAATAGCTGAATTAATGATAAACGGTTGACGTCAATCAACATAACAAGCCGACAGAATTAAAGAATTTTAGAGGTTGTGTCATTTCATAAACAGCAAAAATGCTTTTGCTTACAACCGTTAACCCCACCTTTAATAAAGGCACCTTAAAAAAATGTTGAGATTTGGGGTGGGGGGGAGGGGGGAAAAAAGATGTAGAAAAAGTTGGGCGTACCTCCGGAAAAATCCTGACTACGCACCTGCTAAAGCCTGAAACTGAACAACAGGAGTCTTGACGAAACGTCCTCAGTTATCACCTGTCCGGGGTCGTACTTTCAAGGAAACGCTGATCAAGAATCACTCATGACGGAATGAAAAATCCTCGTAGCTTCCAGCGAAAAGAGGAGTGACAACAGTGGTAAGCGGTCGTTCTGTGAAATGTAACGCAATCTTTGCCGTTTACGATCTTTCGGCGCTTGGATTTGAAACGTTGTTGTTTGGTATGTTCTCCCGTGTGGATACTTGACATTTCCAATATATGGAAACAACATGCTAAGGTACGAACAACAGACATTCACAACATTGTTTTGTACGCTAAAATCTGATTTCATGGAGGTAAAACGTTTTGAATTTTAAGACTTTTTAATATAAGTGCTTTGCCCTCCCTTTGACAACTTCACGTGACTGGTGCACTTGGCAGGAGTTGACAGCTTAAATCTGACTTTCTTCATAGCAAACGGCATTAATTTATATGAGATCGCTGTATAAACACGTCTTGGTTTCTGAAAGCTGATAACATGAAACCACTATTGCTCAAACTGATTTCTTACTGTATTTTTCCAAGTTTTTAGCATCGGCCCGCCGCGTCTGGAAAGCTCAAATTTCAGAAAAGTACTACTTGTATTTTTTGGCCTCAAAAATTTTCTTTTAAGTTGCCCGTAGTTTTGAAAACAGATTTTGAAAGAAGAGATAACGCTCTTTAACGTGGTATAAGACTCGTTACTGAAATCGAGGTACCAGTCGACGATTTTGGGCTTTGAAATTTGCCATTTTTTCATTGAACGAAAACGTTCAAAATATTGAAAATAATGAAAAATCTCCAAAATATTACACTTTCGTTCAAACTGAGTAAATCACCACTTAGAATGTGTGCAATTAAGTACTCTTCTGAATAAGTTATTTGTTGTCCACATTACAATGGATTTGAATTTTAAAACGATTTTTTTGTGACACATGGTCTCGGGTCTGGAAAACCCGGTCCGAGAGCCGCGAAACCAATAACCCCCCCGTACGTGGAAAATAATTATCGGATCGAAGTAAAAATTACATTTATGTTAATAGCTTACCTAGTGCTACTTTGTGAATTTTT